TCGCAAGTTTAATATATGTTGATATTGAGTAGTGATAAGTTGACGTGCAACTTCACAATTAGAGCCTCCATCTGTAACCACTGCACCAAATTTTTCTACACCGATTTCATCAAAAACTTGTTGGATACAATCTCGAAGTAATTCCCCTGTATGACTTTGGTCAGATAAATCCATTAATTTCCAAAGATATTCATGTCCATCAGATGTATGTATTACAAAATTCCATAATGATTTGCCTGAATAATCGGTCCATCCGTCTAATCCTATTATTCAATTGTAAATATTAGTAAAAATATTTAATACAAATATAAAATGTATTATTACCAACTTACCAAGGGTTAGATTGGTGGCTTTTTCCATCAAAGAATAAAGTTTCTGATTAATTTTTACAATTTCCAAATTTAATAAGCTTCCAGAAAATAGTTGACATGATGGAGGATTATATGCAGGTCGAAGTTGTCGAAGTGCTTCAATAAAATATGGATTGGAAATAGTATGAAATGGAATATTGCATACAATAAATGCTCTAAGAAGTGATGAATTAATGGCATTTTCACGTTGAGAAGTTAGTTTTGTACTTTCTATAAAGTCACTCAATAATGTTTGATTTGTTGCTGCCTTCCTTTTTTTTTTAGTTGGTTCTATTCCCTGTATTACATTAGAAGACACTGCTTGACTACCTTTGCCTTTTCGTTTAGCAACAATCTGAGAATAAAATTGAATTATTTCTTTTACTTGAGTTGTACAATATAAAGCAATATGCTCTTCAAGTTCAACAGGTCTACCCTGACTCCAATGCATATTACATTTAAAACAAGTAGCCCAACGATGACCATTTTTAGATTCTTGTTTATCATAATCAAAAAACTCCCAAACACCAGCTAAAGGTCAGCCATTAGATTGTTTTGATTGAGACTTTGTAGTTTCTTCAATATTAGCATTATCATCTTCCACTTCAACGATACATCTTCTTTGTAATGTTGTAGAAGTGCTACAATCTATAAATTAATAATAGTATTAATATTCTAGTAATTATAAAATAACTTAATTTCTAAAACTGTTATTTACCATCTTCTCTTTGTAAATGATCTAAATAATCTTGTGATATTAATACCTCTTCCATTATGAAATGTATATACTAAAAAATTCTTTAATTAATCATAATTTATTAATATAAATTACAATAAAAATAAAATCTATTTCCTTATAACAATCTTGGGAATAATTCGCAAAAAAAATACAAACTTTATTTTTCTATGATGAATCTGAAAAAAAATTATGAAATTTGCTTTTTTCTTATAATTGTTATAAATCTACTACTTTATAATTTTTATTCAATAAAGATTGAATTGAATGTTGGAAGAAAAAATTAAATTTCCTTGGAGACCATGTGTCACAGTGAAGTTACATTGTATTAATGATAAAAGATGAATGCAATCAATATTTTTAGTGTATATACATTTAATCATTTAATCAGCAAGTTTCAAACAAAAAAAAACCCGCATTATTTTTATTATTATTAAAAGTTGGCTCTCATTTTCAAATTTATTACTAATATTATTTATTGGTGGTGCAAATAGTCAGTTTTATACATTAATAATTAGACTTTCAGACATCAATTGGACTTTCGACAAGTATTTAGACTTTCGACATCAATTTAGACTTTCGACAAGTATTTAGACTTTCGACATCAATTTAGACTTTCGACATCAATTTAGACTTTCGACATCAATTTAGACTTTCGACATCAATTTAGGCTTTTGACATCAATTTAGACTTTCAACATTTCGACATGTTTCGACATTACGGCAAATCAAGTGACCTTGTCAAATATATTTCGACAGTCAAAATGCCTAAATGTTTGTCGAAACTATACCTTTCGACTAACAACTCTACATTAGCTTTGAAATTATTCTTAGTAATAAAGAAACCAGGCTTTAGATTGATTTCTGCAAAGTAGTCTTGATAAAAAATCAAGAGAAAAATACCCGTCGCTCATATACTGTGAGGCTTCGACATTAGTTATTGGCCCAGAATAACGAGAACTCGTAACGAATCTATATAAAAAAACCATTTTACTTTATTGATTTCGGCTTTCGGTTTTATTATTTAAATATTAGTATTATAATAACAATGTTTTGAAGTAGGCGTAATACAAAATCACACCATTTTTACTATTACATTCAATAATAGCAAGGGATAGTGGAGACCCTTACTGTGTATACCCTGGCTTTATATGTTGTTACTTGTATTGTACGTCTCTGAAAATAAAATATTAATACCTAACAAAGATTAAAAAAAAGAATCACTCACGTTTATTTTATTATATACAATATATTGCAGTGAAAACCTTCTACGAATACTGCAAAATTGATTCTATTTCATTTTTTGGGAAGTTATCTGAAGGACGCTGTTTCATGAACCTAGGTTTTGTAAAGATATAAAGAATCTTCCATTGAAATAGGAAAAGTTTACTTCTGTGCCACGAAAAAATCAAATTAATCAATGCATGAATCTGTCTGCAATGAATTCATCAAAAAAAAAAGATATATGAATGCATGCATACATGCTCTTTAACAAGGATAACGAAAATAAACAAAGCTTTATTTCTGTTAGGATTCTTCAATGATTTATATATGAAAATTACAAATTATGCAATCAATAATCAAGTGAAATGAACAAAAACATTAAATTTCTAAATGTCCATTTTCTAAACGGTATTTAATCAAATCTTCAATTGCAATTAATTTCAAGTCACGCTCATCAGCAAATAAATGACAATCATCACGATATGCCATTGATCCATCATAAATAACACCAACAGGCTGTAGTCAAGCTAATTTACATAATCTAAATATTGAAAAGAGTTAGGTTGATGGAAGAGAGAGTGAGAGTTTCAGAAATTTACCTGTTGATGCTTCAGTGTGTCGTATCCTTTTTAAGACGCCGTCTAATGCATATCTTAATGAAAATATATGACCGGGTCTATTAGAATCATTAATATTTGTTATATTAGGGTTTGCTAAATGTCTAGCAGTTAAAGCTCTATCGCGTGCAGATATATCTGTTGTAATGACCATTATGATATGGTTA